CTATGACTCCAGACTCCTGAACTGTTTGCTGTGGTAGTATAGTTCATTTTGTTTTTAAGATATGTAAAATTAGGAACACTTTTTAGCATTACTATATATATATATATATATATATATATATATATATATATATATATATATATATATATATATATATATATATATATATATATATATATATATATATATATATATATATATATATATATATATATATATATATATATATATATATATATATATATATATATATATATATATATGTGTATATATTTACAGTATTGTAAATATATACATATATATTTACAATACTGTAAATATATATATATATGTATATATTTACAGTATTGTAAATATATATGTATATATTTACAATACTGTAAATATATACACATATATATATATATATATATATATATATATATATATATATATATATATATATATATATATATATATATATATATGTACATTTATATATATATATATATATATATATATATATATATATATATATATATATATATATATATATATATATGTATATATATATATATATATATATATATATATTTATCTTTTATAAAGTATTTTATAAAAGATTCACCCAAATGAACCCGATATATATATATATATTTATATATATATATATATATATATATATATATGTATATTTATATATATATATATATATATATATATATATATATATATATATATATATATATATATATATATATATATATATATATATATATATATATATATATATATATATATATGTATATATATATATATATATATATATATATATATTATAATTTATTTGATTTAGTTATTTAATATTATAAATTAATTTAACTTAGTTATTGTTTTATTATTTTAGCAATTCCTTAATGATTACATAGATTACGTTTTGTCAATAATTGAAGCCCAATTTTAACTCAATTGTCAAATATTTAGTAATTTAATGTACTTATTTGTTCTCATTTTCTATTTAGTTGTAATTTTTGTGATTTTGTATTGGAAAATAATTACTACTAGCTTTAAAAATTAAATTTTAGAGTTTAGTTTTTTTTCAATATCTTCACTTCAAACAAAGCTGCAATTAACTACTATGAAATCAGAAATTACTTTAAGAGAAAAAATAAAGTTTATAGTGCAAGATAACGATTAACAAACGGCTTAAAAGATTGCAAATTATATGAATCCGGAAAACAATAAGAAGAGCACAAATTCCAAAGAACAGATGCACAAGGAAGAAAAATTTGACTCAAAATGTTTTAAAGCACTTAGCAACAGTCAGGGTAAAATGATGAGACTTAATTAAATAAGACAAGAATGAACTTTAGTAGGTAGCACAAGAACAGCTAGCTCTTTAAAGCAGCGTCTACTAAAGTATTTATAGAAAAGAGAAATAGAAGCGTCATTACGACCATGTGATATAAGTTGAAGGTTAACTGATAGAGCAGGTCTAAAGAAAGACCATCGAACAAAGATTTGCTTTAGATATGGCAGCACTATTCCATAAAAGGACGGATTAATGGTTTATAAAGATGAAGAATAGAATCAGGGGTAGTAAAATGGCGAGTACAATAACAAGATGCAACCTTTGCAGATCTTAATATTGCAATGGGTTTGATATATGGTTTCTAAGAAAAATTGTGATTAACGGTTAATCTTATAAGACGAAGGAACTTAATGAGTACATTACCGTTTATAAATAAAGGAAAATCTATATTATTGTAATAACGATTAGTTAAAAAAAAAATTGTTTTATACAAGTTAAAGTTCACCAGCAACAAAAATCCCGATGCTGTGGCAGAAGTGAGATCTTTTTCACGCTTATATGTCTTTTCAAAGCAATACGAGTGTTGGTATTTTATCAAAAAAAGAACAAATGGTAGTACCATTTGCAAACAATTTTCCACCTTAGATGTGAAAGCTTCTGGGAGATTGTTAATGTAAACTTAAAAAAGTACAAGGTCAAGGATAGAACTTAGAGAAACCCCTGAAGTTACATAAAATGAAGAAGAGTGCTATACATTGAAGTCAACCTTTATACTAAAATTGGTAAGGAAAGATTAAAAATTTTACCTGATACGCTGGAGAAAAGATTTTGGAGAAGACCAGCATGTCAAACTTTATCAAAGCCTGTAGTAATGTTGAAAGCGGTAACCTTAACTTCTCCACGTCTATTCAATGCAAAATAAAACCTATCGGTTATTACCGTCAACAAATCATATTAATGATCCATATTATCTGATTATTAATAACCCATATTAATGATTAGAAAGTAAGTTACCAGAATCAAGATGAAAAATTAGGTGCTTTTTAAAAAAAGACTTAAAAACTTAGCTTACGATTATAAGAAGACTAATGGGACAGTAGTAAGACAAGTCAGATCGCTCTCAAGAATTTTTTGAAAATATGGATTACAGATGCCGTTTTACTGGCTGAAAAACAAGATTCTGATAAGCACTTGTTAAATAGTTTTAAAAGTATAGGAGAAATCTCTGCAGAACACTTTTGCAAGGCTATAACAGGTATGTTATTCAAATCACGAGCTGGAGAGGAGTCTAATCAGGAAATCACTTTAAATACAGAAGCTCGAGTAAAACGAATGTCAAGCAACGGATCAACCTTTTTGTATTTTTTTTAGGTAGGATGTTATTAGTTTTCAGGTAGGATGTTATTAGTTGAATCAAGAGATGAGATTGATAAGTTCTTAGCAAACAATTCAGCTTTGTCTTTAAGTGAGGTAACTCTGTTAAAGATTCTCCACAAGTCTCTGAGGCTTAACTTTTGAGATGAAGTACAATATTTTGTAACTTGAAAATAGAGGGCTTTGGCGTTAGACAAAACATTTACACAATGATTTTTAGCAATGTAAATAGGCGTTTGTTTTTTGTAGAGCTGTTTTGACAATAGATATGGAAAAATG